TGCAAGGCCGAAGAATTGACCGCCACTATTCAGCCTGGCCTACACCACACAGCTAGCTACGGAGTGGCTTTTCTGGCCAGTGAATCTCTACTTTTAATCTTTTTCATTTTCTCCCGCACACACATCACACCACATACTCCGGCATGCACTGGCTGTTGGCAACCACCCAGGAAAATGAAAGAAAAGTCAGGAGTCTGAGAAAGAGAAGAAAGACGTGTGTCACCATAATCACACAAACACACACACACACACGCATGCGCGCACACACACACACACACACACACACACACACACACACACATACACACACGCATGCGCGCACACACACACACACACACACACACACATACATATACCCACACATTCACACGCATGCAATTACACACACACATATGCCTGTACATGCACACACGTGCAGCTAGAGTGGTATGTTACCTCCTCAATGGCACGCCGGTTCTTTCTGAGACAATCTCGCAGCAAGGCGTCCACCTGTGCGCCGCTCAGCCTGGGGTCAGGGGCATTGCGTGGCGACGTCAACCCGGGGCCACTACCACGTGGTGACGTCATACCAGCTGAAGGGCACCAACAACAAAGCCAAAACTGTGGTCTAAAATGTGTCTGCCGGCTTTCAACTCTCAGTGCAATTGGGCAACCGTGATTATAAACATAACAATGCCATTATTATGCTCTCGGTTTTACCACAGTCACGGACACAGCAAAGAGAGGAATTCCCTCTCTCCGGTATTTATAAGTCTTGAAAGCGATGACGTCAGAAGTGGTCAGAAGTCAAAGTCTAACTATAAAATACAGTGAGACCTGTCTAAGACGACCGACCGCTCAAGGGACCTTCACAAGGTGGTCTCTGTTACCAGGTGGTCTCCTTATGCAGGGTCATTTGACTGGACATAGCATCCCTTGGTCCTGGTTGCAGTGGCCTTCAAGGACAGGTGGTCGCCTTATCCGAGTGGTCCCCTTTCCAGGTTTCACTGCGCCGGCTTTTGTATCCACTCTAGCCATGGCGAAGTACATGCATGGGGTATGGTGGGTGGACCCATCGTGTTGCACGTAGGTGTGAATGATTCTGTATTAGTAGTGGGTCCCTGAGCGAGAGAGCGCCCAGACCAGTCACTACCGGTGGATGTATTTTTTTATTTTTTTCACCTCGTCATGTCCCTTCTTCCCTCTCTCATAACAGCCACCTTCACTTCCTTTCCCCAGGAGACTCCCTTTGATAGGCATCCATTTGCCTCTGGAGAATCCTTGAAAATATAATATCAATAATGTGTCACTGTGCTGTGAAGGAAAACAACGCAAACGTGTATGCATCCATACAAAATCTGGATCCAAGTGGACCCCAAAAAAATGCAATGCCAGCTCCAGAGCCAGGTCTGCAGGGGGTCAGTGATCCGATTTAGAGGGTGTGTGGACCCTGGTTGAGAGGGTGTATGGCCCCAGTTGAGAGGGTGTGTGGACCCGATTGGGAGGGTGTGGACCCTGCTGAGAGGGTGTGTGGACCCGATGGAGAGGGTGTATGGACCCAGTTGAAAGGCTGTGTGGACCCGGCTGAGAGGGCATGCGGACATGGTTGAGAGGCTGTGTGGACCCGGTTGAGAGGGTCTGTGGTCCCGGTTGAGAAGGTGTGTGGACCTATTTGAGAGGGTGTGTGGGCCCGGCTGTGAGGGTGTGTGGACCCGGTTGAGTTGGTGGGTGGACTCGGTCAGAAGGGCGTGTGGACCTGGTTGAGAGGGTGGGTGGACCCGGTCAGATGGGTGTGTGGACCCGGTCAGATGCAGGGGCGGATCCAGAGATCTCTACACGGGGTTCCGGTTGAACCAAAATTGAACAGCCAAAATATTATGGAATCAAATGTGCGGCTGACACTTGTAACTACGACAATCCGATTGTGTTAATGGGAATCGCATGCTTTTAAAACACATTACAGACACATATTCTTCGATCATCCACCACACCACAACTGCGCTCTCCAGCCGGCCTCGACACGTTACCACAGCACACCACCAGCGCTGGAGACTGAGTCGGAGCGCAGTTGTGGTGTGGTGGACGATGGAAAACCTGTACAGGGCCAAAGGATGCTGCTTACCCTACATTGTATACGGACACATAATCATATACATGTATGCAATCGACTGGCACATAGGTTCAGTGAGGGCTTGAAGACCCTTTCAACTTCTTGTAAAGATCGAATATGCAAGCCATGGGTACGTTGAGAGCCAGGAATGCCGAAATGACAACTAAGTTACTTTCCCTGTCCATTTGCACTTTCGGAAATTTTTGGCATTTTTACGATGCGAAATGCTCTATTGTCACAGGACAAGAGCACTGTCTTCACTTGACAGAAACAACAACAGCGAAACAGTGTCGACAATCCCTCCAATGTCATCTAAAACACATCGCTGGTGCAGCACTCCGTCCCTGCGGAGGAACAACTAGTCACTACTGCATGCCGCAGCAGGTAGAGATTACTGACTTTGCTTGGATGTCGGAGCCCTCATCTTCTGAGGAGCTTGAACTCTACGTGTACGATTCGAAGTTCGTTGAAGAGTGTCATCACTCGGAACATCCTTTCTCTTCTGGAAAAAACTTGTCCAAGGAATACTGACCACACCACACCGATCCTTAGCAGCAGTGAATGCCAGCGCCAATGGAGGTAAGTTTGGATCGTTTCGAAAGATCAAAAAGGAAACAACCACCCAATGTTGTCTACAGTGTCCGTTTGTAAATCACGGACGTGAACACCAGTACAGACTACTATCGGTATACGTACACTACCGTACAGTATCGATCTACCGCATGCGCATGCAGTGCACTGTAGCTCTACTCCTTGACTCAGTGACTGCACTGGCTGTGATCGGACAGACGTCCTTTTGTGCACACATGATATTTTTTCGATATTTCTCAGCAGCACACTTTGCAAAATTTAGGGGGTTCCATGGAACCCCCCTCCCCCTGGATCCGCCACTGAGATCATGGGTATGTGGACCCGGTCAGAAGGGTGTGTGGACCCGGTCAGAAGGGTGTGTGGACCCGTTTGAGAAGGTGTGTGGACCTGGTTGAGGTGTGTGGACCCGGGTTGAAAGAAATCAGCCGGGTACTCACAGACCTGGTTGAGATTGGGTTCATTTGGTCTGTAAGAGAGTTTGTTCGTGCACCTAAACCAATCCAAACCAGAATGGATGACCTTGATCAAAAGGCAATGCCAACGGCAACTGTGCCTGGCTGACCCTGAAGCCTAGAGTACACATTGAATCATATGATCTACGATTGTACGATTGTACACGTCTTTTTGTTTTTGTTTGTTTGTATTATTTTTACTTCAATAACACTGCCTCCTTCTGGAAAGTTGAAACAGGAGAACATGAAAAGGGACCAAAGAGAACAATGGGAAGGTGGGTGCTACAGAGTAGCCGTGTGATGGTGAGTCTGGAGGCACTCCACTAACCCTCCACATTTGTCTCAGCCTCAGCTGCACAATGTACAGTTACTGCTCAATGAAATCCAGTCGCATCACTCGGGTACGCGCCGGGCGTCGTACAGCCCTAGACCTGCGGACACTGGGCTGCAATGCAAAGCTCAAACTAACGGTTACTTGAGTGACACGACTGGATTTCGTTGAGCAGCACTGTAGATTCTAGTCATGTACAGTGCTGGCAACTGAAATCCGACCCCCTGAGCGGTGGGTTCACATTCTAGCGGTCTCTGTTTCGTAGTCTTACCATCCCGTGTTGGGTCTTTGCGATGTGAGCGCACCGCTCAGGGGGTCGGATTTCAGTTGCCAGCACTGTACACAATGTCATGTACATGTAGATCTACATGACACGACGACTCCTTCTTACCTTGATTCCGGGGTGAGGTTGGTGCCGTCGTTCTCTGCCCGCCCTGCTGCTGTCCGCCGCGAGATCCCTTGACGGACAGCGTGACCGGGGTAGCTTCAATCGCTAGCGGCGAAGACATTCTAAGTCCGTTAGGACCTCTGGGCCCACAACGTCCTTCGAAAAACTTCACTCAACAAACCCTCCGTCCGAATATCCCTGCGATGGTTGTTCCGCAGGACGCTCAATGGCTGCAAGCGCAGTTGAATGGAAGCCGCGTGGCTTGTCAAGACGGGACGGGAATAATTGTTTTGAAAATTTGGGGACGCCTGATCCGCTTTGTCGAACCTGCGTAGGTCTGCATGCGTTGTGCGAAACAACCAGACACACTAATTGTTGGCTAACGACTATTGCAAATGAGGAAGAACGAAACTACCACCACGCATACTAGACAAACTCTCGTGTCGTTGTGCATCGGACACCCTGGTGCATGACATTCGAAAACGCTCATTCACCAACGACCAGATTGAAGTAGTTTGGAGTTTTTGGCCTAGCTGACCTACGCCACAAAACACGAGCTTGTTGACGGGATTCCGGCAGCCAGCTTCTATAGCTGACTTCGAATCCCTGACTGGCCTGACTCCGTGAGTCTCACATCGTGGTTGCTGCCCCGTAACCTTGGAAACGGCAGCCTGAACTCCATGTATGTGAACCATGGCGCCCTACACAGACTATACAGCCGGGCTATCATGCTGACCTGCCGCCCGGTGCATGCAGAATCGTGTAGATCTGCCACAGAGACAGTCAGCGTCCGTGCCACTGCAACTGTTCTTTCGTTCAAGCCAGGGAGCCGTGAAAGCCGTTCACGACTCCCTCATCAGGCCAGGCCCCAGTCGGCAAGTACAGCATGTTTCAGACAGCATGGTCAGTAGATCTACATGTACATCTGTACATGATTGTACAAAGGTATCGCCTGTCCGTGCTGTCCCGCAGACCCAACACAACTGTCATCTTTATCGCTAATGACAGTCTAATGTCAGCAGATCTCCTCCTACTCCCAGATCCTGCACTGTGACCAGGTGACAGTCATGTCATTGGATCTGGCAGCCGTCTAGCAGGCCGGGATGGGTCTACTCCACCCCATCAGCTCCGACTCCCTGTCAACCCGCGCCGGCCAATCCGAACTTGACGCCAAGGCGACCGTTGCTCCTACCAACAGAAACGCACCAGTCGCAGTGGAGGGGGGGGGGCGGGGGCGGGCACCACGGGCCGGCGGCGCATAGAACATACAGCTACATGTACATGGATATGCATGACCAGGACGACATGAGTGGAACCGTCCTCAAGCCAAGGTGAAGCAATCAAGCCTCCATCCAGGTTACATGGTTCAAGGGTAAAGCTAATCATCATTATGTCATGTACATGTAGCCTAGCGATAACCACCTGTAAAATTTAATGATGAGCTCGCAGCTAGCATTGCAACAGCGGTCTGGACACTGGAGCGTTTGAAAATATCCCAACGCCATGGTAGATCTACTGGCAATGGCGCTGATGTGCAAGGCCAAGGCAAGGGGAGAGTGGATCAGCCGAGAGCGCCTGGGCTTGAGGAGCGATGATGGAGTGACTGATGTTTTGACATAAACCGAGCCAAGAAATGTCGGGAAAGGTGCAATGGTGAGGAACGTGCGAACGTTTGTCAGCTTAAGCCTAAGGACATGTAGACGTGGAGAGTAGGAACGATAGTGAAAGGTTCTGGGAGAAAGGAAGGGAGTGAGGGAGAGGAGCACCAAAGTAGCTCCGACCCTACCCCCCCCCCCCCCCCTCTCAATCACTTCGGCTGCAACCCTGATGATGGAATTGAAATGGAAACGCGGCGCCATTTTTGACTCTTGGTCGGATTTCTTGGCCACGACTGTACACTGCAGAGTGCAGTGGATGGAAGTTCCATGACTGCTGGTAGACCAACCAAATACCAGTTACAACTTGCATGGTACATGTTCTTGTCGGTGACAATCGCCTTTATCATAGTTTATGTTCCGGCAATATTGAGCCCAGTTCCCGTTTAAATGTACATGTAAGTTCCGACACGTCCGCGTTACCAGTGGCTATACAATTGTGCTGAGAAACGCAACCAGCTTTGGAAGTTTCACTGACACTTGCGCCAAGCTACCACAGTACAGTACAGTAACAAACAAACAACCGACCTCATTTGTTGCATGGCTAGTGGCCATGGTGCAGGCTGAGCCGCTCCCAGCTCATCTTCAGGACCATAGCCACGCGGCCCACGCCTATGGCACCAACCGCATCTTATCGCGCAAATACATGCACATGTATGTAGTAGCACGCAGTACACGCCAACATGCACATGTACAATTTGCAGTCTGCTCTCCGGCGCGGTCTTGATAAGTCGCGCACCTGATCTTGAAGACAAAAATGCGTGACTTATCACGAGTGAGCTACTTACATACATTGTACAATCATGTAATTATTGTAATAGTATACGTACGTATACAAAGATGGCCTCCAAATTGTAATAGTTTTCACTGTGTTTCCTGTACATGTATAGTCAGACCTCGCATAACCGCACACAAGCGTTTTCCACAAAAATATCCGGATAGGCGAGGGAACCGGATAATCGAACACACACACTGTATGTATGCATGGCATATGCTGTAAATCGGTGACCAACGATTTTCTTCCGGATGGTGAGGGATCCGGATAAAAGAGGACCGGATAAGCGAGGTCTGACTGTACATGTACATGACTTTGTACAGACTCAGTGCTGGGCATGCATTGCGGACCCTTGACAGGACGACGATGTTGAGCAAGCTTCGTCCACGGCGGTCTGGTACGCATTTTAGTCTTATAGTTATACTTACTTGTACGTTATAGTGTTTTAGTAATCGTGTAGATGTGTGTAGATGTGTGTAGATGTGCAAGAAGAAAAAGTCCCGGTAATCCAGCGGAGGTGTCAACTCATTAGTGCAGTTATGGACATGCACATGATTGTACATGTACATGTACTTACACTTTGAAAGAGAGAAGGATCCAAGTGGAAAAATGTTACTTTCTTCTTCGTGCGGATCCGACGGAAGCAATCATCAGACAACCCTTTCGCAATCATCATGTACAATGTACATGTACATGTACTTCAGTGCATGTACTCAATCTGCGGACAGAACTGTTCCGTCCTTTGTGGACATGCACATACATGTACATGTGTGTATTTACACCGTTACTGTCAGTGTACCGTGGTGTACACACACACACACACACACACACACACACACGCATACACACACACACACACACACACACACACACACACACACATGCGTAAACATACACACACATGCACAAACACACCACACACACACACACACACACACACACACACACACACACACACACACACACACACACACACACACACACACACACACACACACACACACACACACACACACACACACACACACACACACACACACACACACACACACACACACACACACACACACACACACACACACACACACACACACACACACACACACACACACACACACACACACACACACACACACACACACACACACATACACACACACACACACACACACACACACACACACATACACACACACACACACACACACACACACACACACACACACACACACACACATACACACACACACACACACACACACACACACACACACACACACATACACACACACACACACACACACACACACACACACACACACACACACACACACACACACACAAATGTACATGTAGTAGCAAAACATACATGTAAACGTACATGTAAACGTACATGTAAACATACATGTAAACATACATGTAAACGTACATGTAGTGGCTCATGCTGTGTCTGAGCTGAGCGCTCCACATCAGCCAAGATAAACATCAAAATACACGGGGATTGGATTCACTGTTGTGTCATCCCACTTGCACCAAGATAAGATGGATGGGAAGCTGTTCTGAGTCTGTTCACTCAGAATAACTCTTGCTTGCACTGATATCATGATAATGATCGTGCGCTGAGCTGGGTGTGGGACACCCATAGACTCATACGCATAGTCATACAACGACTGAGATTGAAAAGTGAGATAGAGACGACATCATGATATCAGCAAGGACCTGGCTTAGGTGACACATGAAAAATGTCGCTCACAAGCTAGTCATATCAATTTTTTTCGACATGTCCCAAGCTTGGTAGATCTAGCTACCCGTGGTGCATGGTATGGGCAAGCAGGCAGCATGCACCATTCCTCGATGACGGGCGTCCCGGGCGCGGTCATCTGGTCATCTTGGTCATGGTCAGCTCAAGCCTCAAGGACGATGAGCATCTCGTGAGCAAGAACGGCAGCGAGATGATCGATCCGGCGTTCAAAATGCCTTCAAATGCCGGTTTTTCCGAGCTCCCAGCGCCGCAAGTGCACTCGCTTCAGGAGTATGTACTAGTACTTGCATTTGCCTAACTGGATCGATCTCTCCGCAACGCTGCGGGGTGTGATTGCTTCAGTACGATCAGTCATGTAGTTGAATGTCACTGAATCAATACAACGCTGGTATACCGGTATGGTTGGCACTTGGCCCTTCTGCGAGCCGCGAGCGCTGTCCACCCAGAAATGCTGATGTTTTCTGCCCTGCATGGTGCGTCGAGGCAGAAACGTATGCCTATGGACGCGGAGGACGAGAGCTCCGCAATTACTTCGCCGAACAATTATTATCTAGCATTCCATGTTTCTGATTTGATTGCGAACGGATTTGTTCACGCGCCGCGGTTGCCCATACATACTACCCCTCTTTATCACACTGTACTGGTGCAGTGGTGGTGGAGCTGCTCGAGGCCTGGGTGCAGGGACTCCTGCTGTCCGGAAAATCGATTTCGCCTCAGCCACAACAACGTAGTACAAGACAAGCACTATTTGGCAGGTACTATCACTGTATCAGTAACAACACGCTGTATTTCCCTACTCCCTGTTTGTGTTAGTGATACTGTAGTCTAGTTCTCCATCTGCAATACTCTCTGCGAGGAGTATCATCATCAGCGTCACCCTGCGACGAGACGACAACCGACCGTACACGGCTACTGCTGCTTGTTCGACAAGAAAAACCCAATCGCTAGGTCTTATCGTCGAGGCATTTGCGGCCGCTAGCAACTCTCCCGATCAGCTGAGGACTGACCCAAAAGTCAACTCACCAGCCCACAACTGCGTGCCATTCGCGAACGCTACCAAATACCGCGCGCGTCTGCGCTTTTGGCAGCGGGGCAAAATCTAAAAGCATCGCAGAGAGTGCCGTGCTGACCGGCTTGCCACCGCTCGAAACGTAGCGCTCACCGTTTGGGCCTAGCTAGCTGCTTGGGCGAACAGAGCGTGTGACGGCGTGTACAGAGAGACCAGCAGGCAGTCGATCTATCTACATCCAAGAGTTGGATCTCTTGGCCAGCAGCAGGGGCCCGGTGGGGCGAGTTGTCGTTCGCAATCTCGAAAAGGAAACCGTAGATATCAGCAGATTCAGAGAACCCTTAGCGAGCACTTAGACGCTGAATCCAACCAAGATAGAAGGCAGAAATTTTATTGTTGAAGCGAGTGTACTTCGCTTTGGACTAGTTGCAGTCGTGTAGACTTGTTGTGAATCTAAATATTAATTGCTTGCTTGCTTGGTAGCAACGAATAGTGCTCGCAGTACTGTAGTGGAGAGTCGAGTCGTTACAATGGAAGAACCTGTCAGCCCCGTTTCAGCCAGTCCCGTTTCTCCCATGTCCCCGCCGCCAGGGATAAAACGGCCTCGGCTGATTACCGTGCGAAAGCCCAGGGACGGTGGCTCGTTCGGCTTCAACCTACACGGCGTCAAGGGCAAACCTGGCCAGGTCGTGAAGAGCGTGGAGGCCAACGGGGCAGCGCTGATCGCGGGTCTCTACCCTGGCGATCGTGTCATCGACGTGAACTCCATTTGCGTGGTGGGGGAGACGCACGCCTCGGTGGTCGGTCGGATTCGAGACAGCGGAGACCTCGTCACTCTCCTAGTCGTCGACGAGTCAACGTACGACTTCTACAACGCGCGAGGATTGGTGATTACAGAAGCCGATGCAGTACCGTTGCCGTCAATGAACGGTGCTCGTTCATCGGACGACTCGACTAGTTTGAGTGGCAGCGTTCACAGCTCGTCCACGGAGGGCGCACCGCTGTCGCCACCTGGGGATCGCGAGCCAGCGCCAGTACCGCACACCTTCAAGAAAACCAAGGTGAAGAAGCGGGACGCAGCCAAGGTGGCAGAAACCGACTGGGCGGCCAAGAAGAACTTCTTCGACGACCTCTAACGATAGGACCTGTTTTACTTTGGAGTAAGTTTACATTGAGAAACCATTCATTCAGAGACCTGGATCCCACAGGGTCACAGGATCGCTTACTAGTTTACCATAGGCATAGTTTACATGTTGTGGTCAAAGTCCATTTAAAAAAAACTTGAGCAAAATTATCATGAGAAAATTCCTTGAGCTCAAGCAAGCGTGGTGAAGCACGTTGCTTGAGCAAATCTATTCGCTGTGTGGAATGAGTTTGCATGCCTGCAATGCTTACTGCTGGACTAGAGCTCCACCAAAACGACGCTGTGCTGTGTGCCTCTCTCCCCCCCCCCCCCCCCTCTTCTCCCCTCCTAAGTCCTAGCTTGATTCCAGCCCAAAGCTCCTGTAAATTTACTGCTGATAAACTGCTACGCTACCTGCTGCTGCTGTTGCTGTTACTGCTGCTGTTGCTGCCACCCATGTTTTCTGAGAACAGGGGGGAATTGGTTGCATGCGTATTGCCTCGCGCTGGGCATCCCCCCCCCCCCCCCCCCGTACCGCCATTTGTAAATCAAGAGCACTGCTATATTACTACGCTTCAAATGAGAACACACCGCTAGTGGCAATAATTGTTTTTAAGTAGCCAGTGTAATCGTAATACTAGTCATCTAAAAGTGTTGTAATACTTGGGACATTTGCGCACGTGCATCCCCCATTATAGCCTAGAGTAACCAAGTCGTAGTTTTATAAATCATTTTTCTCGCCCTCTTCCTCTATGCTATGGTAGTTGTAATTCTCTGCAAATGTTTTAAAACTCTTTTTTTCTCCCCAGCCTATACCGTGCTATGGGCTCATCAGTACAGGTGTTGGCGTTTAGACTAACATTACACTTCAGTATCCAGTGTCCAGGGCTACTCATTGCTGTTTTCTGATGATCGCTTAGTATGTGGAACTCGGAGTTAAAAACACTTGTTTTCAACCTCTCATTGTTGGTTTGTACTTCAGTACAATCATGTAAAACCGTCGCAGAGCTGTTGCCTGATGACCGCCTTGTGCGTGAGGCTCGGTGTTACAGAGAAGTCTTCATTCTCTACTTCTTGTTGCAACATGTACGACTAGCAGCGGACATTGAAATCCGTTGGGAAGTCTTGCAGCCGTGAGCACTGCTGGTCCATTTTTTACAATGTGTGCGTGAATCACAGTGCATGTACGCGCTAAACTGAGCTAGGCCACTGGCCCCGCGCTCATCCCATCGGATTTCAATGTCCCGGACAGTACATGTGTAGCACGGCTGTTCCGGATGGTCATCACTGTATTGCTTGTTTGGCATATCATGCACTCCTGGATTCTCTTACCCCGTTGGCGCATTGTTACCTTAACTAAACACTTCAGCACCCTTCCCCCGCATTGGCCCCTATTTCCAAACCAATTCTCTCTCTCTTTCTCTCCCTCTCTCGCTCTCTCTCTTTCTCTTTCTCTCTCTCTCTCTCTCTCTCTCTCTCTCTCTCTCTCTCTCTCTCTCTCTCTCTCTCTCTCTCTCTCTCTCTCTCTCTCTCTCTCTCTCTCTATCTATCTATCTCTATCTATCTATCTCTCTATCTCTCTCTCTATCTCTCTCTCTCTCTCTCTCCCTCTCTCTCTCTCGCTCTCGCTCTCTCTCTCGCTCTCTCTCTCTCTCTCTCTCTCTCTCTCTCTCTCTCTCTCTCTCTCTCTCTCTCTCTCTCTCTCTCTCTCTCTCTCTCTCTCTCTCTCTCTCTCTCTCTCTCTCTCTTTCTCTCACACTCTTTCTCACAAGCACATCCCACACCCAAACACTTACATACATGTATGTGTGCATGCACAAACACGCACACACGCACATGTGCACAGTACTGGGCCGAGCATGACTATAAAGCGAGAGTGCCTACTCTATGGTCCCGTGATCTGGAGACCTCTGCTATTAATGTTTTCAGCAAGCACGAGTATCTGTTGACAATTAGTCATTATAATTGTCAATGAAGAAATGAAGGTCAATAACAGAGTAGCAAAGTGGTTCGACAGCTAATTGCCAATGGTGGGCAAGTGGTTTGCCACTTCCAGAAGAGTAGCTTTGTCAACCACGTGCTGTTTGCATAACAGTGATCCACTCAATCCGTGATCTAAAGTACTTCTTGAAGTTGAAGTAAAGACTTTAAGCGGTCTAACATTAGCACGGTCATGTAGCGGATCGCGGAATGGCCATGGTATCGGAACTGGTCCGGAAGTACATGAGCAGTGACACCATACTTCCGTGGCAGTCTTTGCCTGTCAGGTGAAATCCGGTCCCTGTGGCCTACGGGTGGATCACCGCTTGCGAGCGTGATGTGTTCAGGGTTGGATTTCACTTGATAGACTCTACCAATAACCATGATAACCCGGTAGGTACGATGCAGCTAGTAGCAGTCGTGCTACTGAGTCAAAGAACTTTATTGAAAATCCATGATAATGTGATCGGAAAGATGATTGAAGAAAATCCAAAGTCAAACCCAGGCAATTATTAGCAGTCACTACTATCAAAGCAGATCATTATTTCAGTAACAGTCAGTAGTGCTACTAGTGGCTGTGCCAAGTACTGGCACTACATCAGTCATCACTACATCACTAGTGGTAGATCAGAACCTTTTCTGGTTTTCAGTGGTAGAGAGATGATCTAACAGGAGAAACTGAGCACATGTATCACCATGATCACAGCTCTTCTCTCAAATCAACTGGCACTGGCAAAAAAAAATCAACCGGCACTACATAGACATGGACATGATAGCAAAAACTACAATCATGCACAATCATGTAAAATGTACATGTACATGATATGACCGTTAGTGATTTTTATTTATTTTTTTGATACGAGGTGAAAACCCCTGGTCCTGGATCACTGCATGCTTCGAACACGATGTTCGATTTGCACGGTTGGATTTCATCTGGTCTCGTCACAGTGTACATGTACACTGTACATGTAGCTGCCGGCAGTATTGTGCAACTATGTACAAGTATAAGTCAAATAAATTTTACATGTGAATCAGTGGCGTAATCATAAACATTTACAATGAGTTACGAAGTCTGAAGAAATTGTTGAACGGCCTCTGCTGGGATGACGACTACACCCTGGCTCAGTGGTTAGAGCATCGCTGGCTACAAGCGAAGGTCCCTGGTTCGAGTCCTGGTGGTGACAGTCAATTTTTTCTTCAGACTTTTCCCGTTTGTCTCTTTCCCTCAAACCAGTTAACAGTGCTAATGCTTTGCTACAAGAGTACAATGTACAATGTAGGTGATAAACTGATAATAGGGATCCACGTGCCTTCTTCAGTACAAGCAGAAATTACACCGTCAAACGACCATGTGAACCGGGGAAAGGGTGAAGCAAAGGTGGGTCACAAATTCCGACTCACAATAACCTAAACAAGACGCTTTAAATGTTACAGAAAACCTCAAATAAAGGCTCCCAACCCATTGGCATATCGCCCCTACTTCCCTTCATTTCGTTTGTCTTGTCATTTCTACTGTCTGCTCTTCTTGATGGGCGACAATACAATGTATTGTCGCAATTACATGTCATGTAATTGTGCATCGTACAAACTCACGTTTTGCTTCACCCAGAATCTATCAACAAAAACTGAGCTCAAATCAAGTCCCAATATTACAGTAAATCAAACGAATCATGAGTGGTGGATACCATGAATACAGCGGCTTCCGGAGCTGGTAAACGCCTCAAACCCTTTTCGCACTCGGAGAGAGTGTTGGTTGCTCGTGACAGACTCGTGCTCAATACGCCAAGGTGCAGAGCCTAGTACACACACTGGAAAGAAGGAATCACAAGCGTTTCAGCTGTAACTCTGAGTTTCACGGTTTAACTGATCATCAGAGAGCAAAACCTTTTCATATACAGTAAAACCTGTCAATGCGACCACTCGGATAAGGCGACCACCTGTCCTAGACGACCACTGCAACCAGGACCAAGGGATGCTATTTTGAAGTATTTTCAGTCAAATGACCCTGGATAAGGAGATCACCTGGTAATAGAGACCACGTTTTGAAGGTCCCTTGAGCGGTGGTCGTCTTAGACAGGTATCACTGTACATGTATTTTCACATTAGCAGAGGCACGTACAGTATCACCTGATAGGTCTACACCGTCACCATGGTCACCGGGCATATTGCACTGCTCTGATCTCGAGTTGTAGATCTACTCTAGTCTAAAATAGTGTCGTCTGTACTTGTGATCATGCTCTCAATCATTAATTTTGATTAAACCCCCTAACAAAACCATCGTATGCCCGCGTGTCGCCCGGTGTTCCTTGCCGCCAGCGAGTAGTTTGAGGATGCAAAGGTCAAAGGACAAGAGGATAAAACTAAAGTTCCTTGTAGGTTTTGCAAACTCAGAACGGGGCAACACCAGAATTAGTAAGCACAGTCTACATAAAAATAGAAACAAATACAGTCTAATAATAGCTATGAAAAGTATGAATGCCGCAGACATCACCACGCAACATGACAGTTTGTTCAAGGTTTGGTTTTGTGTGTTTCCTGCCACTTCCTTCTCGCAAACCGTTCCCATATCGCTTCCGTCGAGTTCCCTCTCAGTGCTGGGACTCTATGAACGCTGATTTCTCCTGCCACGACTGGTCGTTTCTGCAACCAGAAGGCTCTCCAACTGTTGACGCCGCGGTAGATCACTTTGCAGCCGTCCTTGAACGAGGGTTCCAACAGCACCTCTCTAACTTTGCTATCGGCTACAACAACCGGAAACATTCCAACCCAACATCCTCGACATCTAGTCCCCCATGGGTGACACGGTCCCTCGTATCTGAAGTGAAGCGCAAGCGTGATCTTTTCAGCATCTACAAGAAATTCCCAACGCCGGTTAACCGGGAGGCTTACCGAGTTCAACGCAACTTCGTCAAGCACCTTTCTCGTACCTCACACCGCTCCTTTCTAAACTCTCTTTCTGCAACACTCTCCTCCCCCGATCGCCCATCACTCCACCAATTCATTCGCAACCAGTGCCGCGGGACCTCCCGCGCGCCAATCCAGTACCTGACGGACTCCAATGGCAACCGCCAGCACGATGTGAAGGCGATTGCAGACACACTGAACAAGCAGTTTGTTTCATCCGGCATTCCGGAAGATCCGAATTGGGTCATTCCATCGCTGTCCCCAGCCCCTGAACTTAGCGCACCACTCACACGCGTCGTTACCACGACTGCTACCGTCTGTAAGCACCTCAAACTCCTGAAGAATTGTAAGTCCCCTGGCGAAGATGGCATACCCAATGAGGTTCTCAAATGGCTTGCGCCATCTCTGTCCTATCCCTTGTGCCTGCTCTTTAACATGTCATATCGTACAGGAGTATTTCCGTCCGTCTGGAAATCTGCTGTTATCGTCCCGATCTATAAGAAAGGCCAACGCTCTCAGGCTGGCAACTACAGACCAATCTCTCTCCTTCCCGCTGTGTCCAAGGTCTGTGAACGTATTTTCTTTGAGTCTCTGTACTGCCACGTCACCCCAGCGCTTTCACCATCTCAATCCGGTTTCTGCCGTGGAGACTCCACAACTTTCCAACTAACACGTCTAGTACAAGACATCTACACCCAGCGGAACCTCAGGCGGCATGTTGGCATCGTGTTCTTTGACCTAGCGAAAGCTTTCGACACCGTCTGGCATCGTGGTCTGCTTGCAAAGCTAGAGTCCGTCTTCTTGGTACACGGTCCAGCCCTGCAATGGCTCTCATCCTATCTTTCCTGCCGCCACCAGACTGTCAGAGTATCTACCTCCCTATCAGACCCATTACTAGTCGTGTCTGGGGTACCCCAGGGGTCCATACTTGGGCCGCTCCTATTTCTACTGTACGTTAATGACTTGCCAGCCCTTGTACCAAATGTAAGTCTTTTTGCTGACGACACTGCTCTGATGTGCTCCGACAGCTCGGCAGACAACCTCACGGCCTCCATGCAGTCCGGGGTCAACGCTACAGTAACATGGATGGAAACCTGGAAACTGAAGCCTAACCTCGCCAA